CCCCTCGGGCCGACCTACCCTGGCGGCGCGCACAAGGGGGGGGAGGGGGGGGGCCTTCTTAGAAGGAGGCTGCTCATAAGGCCCGAGCCTTCTGAGAAGCAGGGGTGCTTCTGAGAACCCCTCCCCCCTCCCCCCACCCCCCTCTGCGCGTGGCTGACTGCCTCCCTAGGTCGTGGTAGATGCCGGGTCCATCGGGTGCCGTGGCACCGCTGCCGCCAAGAGGCAGCAGGCTGCTGGCGTAAAGGAATCCTAGCCCACTGGGGATGGCGATAGGGCTCACGGTGCTGAGCAGCGGCAGCAACAACAGCAGCAACATAACAACGATGCTGCAGCCGATCCGCTAGGCATAAGCTGGATCGAATCGCGAGATCGAATCGGGTCGGCAACGCGCTGGATCGCGACTGCATCTCAGCGGCATCGGATCGGAATCGGATCGCTTGAGATCGGTGATCGGGTTCGACCCCTGCAAGCTAGAGAGGGACTCGGTTTGCGGTTCGGATCCGATTGGTCCAGTCGGAAATCAATATCAAGATACGGGCAAGGAGTACAGTTGTTGTTCCCCTCATTCTCTCTGCGCCCGTTACAATCCTCCTGACTAACACTCAAGCCCACGGAGTTCTAACATATTCTGCGACCGCTTGCGAATCCTACCACTGCGGGTCCAATCGACGGTAAGACATCGAACACCCCCGCAAGAGCTTCACACGGCCGCAGACTTCCTTCACATGCTGACCCCCGCTGATGTTTCAGAGATCAAACATGCAGGGATAGGGCATGAGGCTGTGTATCGATCCTTTGTCGGCCGATCAACCTCAGTCCGACGGACCAATCGATCGAGGATCGATCCTCGATCGACCCTCGACCTTGGGTGACAAATGAAGGAGGCGACGGCACGGGAGGGGGAGGATGGGGAGAGGCTAGGGATCGAACAGGTATACAGGTCCACCTCCTTCCTCCTCACTCCCCCTCTTTTTAAACTATGTTGCTCATATTTGGAAGGCAGAGTAGGGGGAGGAACGAAGTGGATCTGTATGTAGAGTTGCCCTCCTCCGGGCGGGGGAGGACTACCACTTGGACCGTCAATGTAAGTGAATGACCCCGCAGGGCTGTCACCGCCACGCCTCGAGCGCCGCCACCCCGATGTATGAGGAGGGGGCAGGGATGGAGAGGGATGGGGAGGGTGAGGAGGAAGAGGGGATATGGTGAGGGATGAGGAGAGGATGAGGGCTAGAGTAAGCCAACAATGCATCAGCGATGCTGCAATACGCCCTCCTGTCCGTCCCTACAATTTCGCATTTTCACTGCAAGAAGCGCCCCCCCCACGTCAAATACCAGCGCAACAGGGCCTGTCATTCTGGCGAGGGCCCCTTTTTGAAAAGGAACAGCCCTGCACCCTTTCTGGAGCATAACCATGTGCGGAAAACAAGCTATGGTCATACCGTTCAGCGAGGTGTGCAGCGAGCTCCCCCTTTCAGAGAAGCACCGCCCCCCCCACCCGCGCCACGTTTGCATCATGTCACGTTCGTGGCCACAATACGCAAACATTCGCAAGCGAAGGCTGCATCTTAGACAAGAACATCGCCCTCGATCCGTGTAGTGCTGCACGTGACGAAGCTCCGTTGTTTTTCTGAATTCGCGAAGCCTCCAGCGACCACCCACGTCTGACCGCAAAGAACTCCGCCATCCTTTTCGAACTGCTGCATTTGAGTGTGCGCGGCGCTGAGGCGAGGGCCACTTCTTGGGCACGGCCGATGCTCGACCCCGGCGTTTGTTCACCAGAAATTGCAGCGACTGTGCGCGGCGCTGGGGCGAGAGCCCCACTGTCAAGAGGAACCGCTGCGGGCAGTACTCATATCCATATCCAGAGCGTCGTGGACTTTGCGGGAAGAGGTGCCGCAACGCCGAGGCGCACTGGATATGGATAAAATCAAGCCTCTTGGGACCAGACTTTTATTCATATCCAGTGCGTCTACGGCTTCTGGGGAAGAGAGCCCAAGAATCCAAGACGCACTGGATGTGGATATAACTATTGCCCGCAACCGCCACTGCTGCAAGCTCTTGTAGCGACTGCGCGCAGCGCTCCGGCGCGAGCCACATTATGAGCACGCCCCCAGGGCAGCCTATTCGGCGCCGGCGGGGCCGCTGCAAGGGGGCCAGGCGCCGAGGATGGCCAGGAGGAAGGCCAGGAGGAGGAGGAGGAGGAGGAGGAGCAGGAGGAGGACAAGGAGGGCCAGGAGGAGGGCCAGGAGGAGGAGGGCCAGGAGGAGGAGGAGGAGAAGGAGGAGGAGGAGGAGGAGGAGGGCGAAGATCGGACGCCACGAAGGGAGAGAGCGAGGAGGGACAAGTCTGGCGGTCCCGCCGAACCCCCCCCCCGGGGGGGTCCCTTCGGAGAGGACCCTTGCGGCCTCCACGGGGCGGCCTCGAGCCAGCCGCGCACCGTGGGGGCCAGCGACGAGGCGCCCCCCCCTGGGGGAGCGAGCCGGCCGTCCACACCTCGAGAGGTCGGGCAGGCCTGCCGGCCCCTTCCACCTGGAGGTTGCTGCCCAGACCTCGAGCCGCCGGGCGAGGACTGGGCTGGGCTGGAGCTCGCGGAAGCCTGGGTCCCACAACAGAAGCTCTGACTGCAACATGAACTCGCAGAGAGAGCATGGCACTGCTGCCGAGAGGCTTCGGAGAAGAGGCCTGCGGGCCTCCGCCATTGCGATGATATGGATGGAGGGGGCAGGGGGGTTGACCGCCAGTCATGAGGGAGGGGGAGAGGCAGAGGTCGTCGGCCCATGGCCTCAGAATTCGCTGGGCGCACCTCCATCGAAGAAAAGCCTTTGCTACCCTGGAGGCGGTTCCATCC